TCCTCAAAAATAATTGCATCATGACTCAATTATTTATATATTTTAATAGTGACTCAATTAATTGCATCAAATAATTGTATCAATTGTATTAAGGATCTATAAATTTTAGCAACATATATAGTCTAGATATTGTATCTGCTATTTCATTGTGATTTCCTGGCACATACTGCACTTGAATTCTGATCTTTCAATTTATACATATTTTCCTTATTTTCTCTGCAATTCGACTTGTCTGAGAAGCTAACATGCTTTTCTGATGGTTGATATATACAACTGTTATCATTGAGTCTAATCATATTAGAATAGATTGGTTTTGTAAAAACTTTCAACATTTTAGACTGTTCTTTACTACAATAATTTCTAAAATATTGATATATATATATATTTTAATCTGTTCTATCTTTCTGAGATTATCAAGTTGTTTATGGTAGCACTCCAACCTACTTTGGATGCATTGATATATATGATTATTTGTGATTTCTTCTTTATCATAGATCTGCCATTCCACTTCTTCAATTGTAATACCCATGTTCTGAGTTGCTCTATGCTTTTTGTAAATGGTTTTAGAATGGAATTCAAACCTTCTTTTTGCAATTGTTAATTTTTGTCTTTCAAAAGTTGGTGGGAGAAGAGACATGCTAAAAGGATAGTGTTTGTTATAAAACTCAATTTTCTAATTATTGAGGCAAGTTTTCTTATATGTATCTGTGGATTTGTTATTGTCTTTTTGTACTTTTTGATTATTTTTTTTATTTTTCTCTTTGGAAGAAAAAAAAATATTCATTTGTTTTGTATTGATAATAAAGCCCAAGAATTCAATAGACTAATTTGGCTTTAGACATAATTTTTTTATATTTATATAAAATCTGAGCTTCTTTAGTAGCTGAATAAGTTTTTGTCTTTATTGGTTGGCCATTCATTTGTTCTTTACAATCAATAATATGTTGTTCAAATATGCTACCAGTTTTATTTCCTTACCTAAGCTAATTGTATTATAGGTCTCATAACTTTTGTAAATATCTGTGAACTTGTCAAAAATCCAAAAAACAAATACATGAAAGAGAATTGCTGGTTCTCAAAATTGAAAATAAAATATTTTTATATCTGAAGGTGTAAAGATATATTGTAATAGAATAAATAACCTAGTCTTATTTTACTTATTTTTATTGGATTATCTCTTATTTGATTTTTAACAATAGTATTTATTCATTTATTTATAGCATATTTAGTTATTTATAGTTTTGTATAATGTAAATTAGATAGCTCAGGAGGCCTAAGCAGCCTACAAGGCTCAAAGAATTTACAAGACTATCTAATCTATGAAATTATAATATTGTGACACATAGATCAGGCAACTTAAGCAACCCAAGCAACCCAGATAGCCCATGGAAAAAAATATTATATAAGTAGTTATTGTCTATAAAATTGTTTAGTTAGTTTTAGAATAACTTACTTTTGTAATTGTTTGGAATTTTGTTTTTGATATTTTAATAAATATCTTTATTTTATTAAATATATCTTAATTACAAAGATTCTTGAAAAATTTTTACCATTTCTTGGAATATTTGTGAGAGATTATCTCTGAAACAATAGATAGTTCTATATAATCTCTAATTCCTTCTAAAAATTACTATTTGGATACTTGACCAAAGCAATTTTGGTCACAATATGATAGAATATTTGTTTATATTGATTGATATTATGTGATTGTTTTTGTGAACCAATGATTTTATTGTTTCTATGCTTTTTATTTTGAAATACTGTACATATGTTTCACAAACTTGTTGAGATAGTGAAGGTCTATTATTGATTTGAGTTCTCCAAACTTTTTGAAGACAAGAAATAATTTGATAGAAAACAAGAAATATTGTTTGAAAATTCTGAAATAATTATATCTGCTAACATTTGGAAAATCTTTAAACATAGTTCAGTATTAAGACTTTGGTATTTTTCTAAAATAGGTTGTAAATTTAAGAAGGGTGGTGTTTTTCAAATTAGTAAATATCTTTCTTAAATTAATGAGGTGGTCTAATAATTGTTAAATTGTATTCTCCATCTGTATATAAAATATTATAATCTTTCTTCAATAGAATAAGTATTTTGTGTTATTGAGTTTGATCATTGGTTGATTTGTTCTAATAAAATTTTTTTCTGTTTTGAAAATTGGAAAAGTGATATAGAAATTTATACTTGTTTCTTTTAGGACCACCATAATAGAAATTTAAGTTTCTTGATTATTTGTTAAATAATTCTGAACAGCATTTTTAATTAAGTACATTATTGAAGAATCATATCTTATCACTCTTTTGTTTAATAATCTCTTGAAGTTCTTCACTAAATATACCTTTGACTGATATTTAGTATGATTTAAATTAAAGCATTTAAGAGCCTGATCTCTTTATAATTCATTTCTATATAATAATGTATTAAGGGTAAGTGATCTTGTAGACAAAAGTGCCTCTTTAAGATATTTTCATATTTCAACTCCTTTTTTATTATTCTCAGATGGTCTTGTTTTATAAATTGTTTTAAGTACAAGATTAATAAGTTAGTTATAAGTTTTTCTATTTCTCCCAAAAGGGCTCAACAGTTACTTTTATTATCATCTGAAGAGTTATCAACTTCATCTTGTTAATTGTTAATATTTAAGAAGATATTATCTTGTTTATTAATGTTTACTTGTTCATTGCTTATTATGCAAAAGATGTTTTTTAAATGCAAACTGCTAATTAGAAAAAAATGATCTGAAGAAAAGAATAGTTAGATTATTAGATTTATACTTTTATTTTGAAAACAAATTAATTATATAAGATATAAACAGATATAATGAATGATGATGTAATAGTACACACTATACATGTTTTCTTATTATCATAAAAGGAAATTTGATCAACAATATGATTTCCAATTACTTACTAATTGTTACTTAGTAATATGAACATGATACAGTTTTTGAAAAATGTCTGAATTAAATATGAATACATATATAGTACACACTATACTGGTGATTTGTAAACTGGACTAATAAATAGCCTGAAGTATATGATATGCTTTGTAATCTTGAGTGATATGTATTTTATAATTGATTTGTTATAAAATTTTTATATAAAACATTTGATTTTATTACTTAATATAATATTGGTCAATTAAATAAAATATATATTTTTAGACCTATGGGTTTATAGCTCAGTGGTAAAGCTCCATAGGTTACCAGGTGAAGGTCTAGGGTTCAACCCCACCTGGTTACAAAAATTTATCACCTTCATAATTGGTTGACCGGCTTCCAATTCATG